TGTCCCTGTTCCCTGGGAGCAGAGCCCGACCCCCCCCGGCTCCCCCCTCCTGTCAGGGATTGCAGAGCCAGAAGGTCCCCCCTGAGCCTCCTTTTCTCCAGGCTGAGCCCCCCCAGCTCCCTCAGCTGCTCCTGCTGCTCCAGCCCCTTCCCAGCTCCCTTCCCTTCCCTGCACATGCTCCAGCCCCTCAGGGTCTTTTTTATCATGAGGAGCCCAAATCTGCCCCCAGGACTGGAGGAGCCTCATCAGTGCCAGCACAGGGGACAATCCCTGCCCTGCTCAAACCACGTTATACATGATTCTGGTACCCCAAAAACTGCCTTTAAGTGCTCCTGGGGTGTGGAAGCGCTGATGCATTGTGTTGGGAAGGTGCTGCTGATTTCTCTGGAACCACAATCCAAGGCCCATGTTTTCCCAGTGAATCAGCCCATCTTGATTGAGTCAATCCTCCTGAGCCCGAGACGAGCTGGCACTGCAGCTCCTGTGAGTCACTGCTAGTGGGAATCGTGGGGAGGTTTTGTCTGTGCACATTTCAAAAATCAAAGTGGGCAAAGGGAGTTGTTGAAAACACAAGTTGTACCGTGCTGGGCTCGCCCTGTGGGGTTTGGCCAGCGCTGATCCTGCAGTTCCCTGCAAAATAATCCTCTGCTTGGATAATCCAGACAGAGGAGTGGGAGAAGGGAAGAGGAGAGGACACAGTCCTGGCTGAGAAAGGCTGTTCTTGGCAGTTTTCTTTCCTGTAACCAAAACCAGGCTGATTCTTCTGAAACACAGGGATGGAAGGGCAAAGAGGGGCGTTTTGAACCTGTCACTTCAGTGAGGTGGTTAAAGAACCACAGAATGGTTTGGATTGGAAGGGACCTTAAAGCTCTTCCCACCCCCTGCCACGGACAGGGACACCTCCCACTAGCCCAGATTGCTCCAAGCCCTGTCCAACCTTGGCCCAGTCACCCTGAGAATGGATTTCATGCTTTGAACTGAAGTTCTGCACAAAATTTCTTGAGCCTCAGGAAAGGAGTGAGTTTGATAAGGGATCATTCCCAGGAGGATTTGCCTGCCTCATCCATCGTGTTGGGGATTAGCTGCTACATCCATTTTCAAAGGAAGCTTGGGAATAAAAGATGATAATCTGTGCCATTTCTCACTGCAGCAAACAAGATGAACCCCACACACACTTTGTCCACCGCTGTTTGGAGCCAGTTTTATCCTTTCTAGAGCTGTTCTCGCTGAGCTGATCTTTGTGTTAGACTTCCAGTGCTGAGAACCATTTTCTGAGAGGGGTTTGTGTTGAACAGCAGGTGCGCTCCCAGAAGGCTCCATTTGTTTCTTGTCCTGTGTCCTCTCCCCCCCCAAATTAAATTGAGAGGAAAAGGAAAGACATTAACATGTGCAGTTGGGACTGTGCCCTTTCCAAACATCACAGCTGAAGTTCTGTAGCCTCGTCCTCTGACAGCCTTGAATTTGTGAAGATGATTGAGAGGTGACTTGACTTGAGAGGCAAGTGCTTGGAGGAAGCACTAAGGATGTGACTCCTTATCTCTGTGGCAGGGTGAGAAATCTCTGCTGAAAGATGTTTCTTCCAGCCATTGCTGCTTCCTAATGCTAAAATCCAGATGAGGAATGAGGTGCAAATTAATTAATGAGGGTCCGACGGCTCAGGAGGGAAGGGATGGATTTTCCATCCCTTAGGATTTTATAATCAAGTTGATGCTTTTTTCCCCCAAAAATAGCATTAACCAGACATGTGCTGAGCAAGAAAACAACCAATGGTCTGTGAGCTCTCACCCCCACAGTCAGATTTGGGATCCTTTTGTGTCGGATTTGGGATC